ACACTTTAAGCTTAGGGGTTAAGGACAGATGAGCTATGTCTGTGACCTTGCTCCTCAGACAGGCAAATAAACGCAACCAGGGAGGGTGAGATCTGAAAGTCTTGCGTCCCAGCTTCTAAAATAACCAGCAGCTCTTGGATTGGACTGGTGTAATCCTTCTTAGAAGTTGACTGGATTCTGAGCTTGACCTTTATTTCTCAGAAGTCTGTAAAGCTTCAGCTTAGTGATGCTGCCTGTTTTCTTCCCAAAAGGGACATTTGCAGAATAACCAAAATAACCCAAACCTTGCTGAAGAAGGTGCTTCTGTATCTGGGCTTAGGCTTGGTGTCACCAGGTAAAACTTTGCTTGCCTTTTAATTGTTCACAAAATTCCTTACTCACCCACGACGCCTTCTTAAGTAGCTGGAGAACCGATGCCCTGCTGCTATAAATATGTGAGGGGTGAATCAGCGGGTGCACAGGCCACGTGTGTCTGACCCGGCTTGTAAGGGAGCAGAGCTTTCTGTCTTCCACAGAACTTGTAGGAAATGATGGTGCGAGTTCCCCAGGCCATCATCTTTTGTTTCATGCTCTGCTTCCATTGGAATACTTTGTTTTCAGTGATTTTTACTTGAACATAAAGAATGGGAGAATGAAAGTAATCTAACAAATATTGGTTGCCACTGACCAGTCGGGTGGTGTTGGCCTGTCAATGTGATGGTGTTTAAAATGCTATATCAGCACTTCACGGGGCTCAGAACTGCACGGGCACCCTCAGGACATCTGTGCTTATTCGGAAATGCCCTCCCATGCAGCTGTTGTGTGGCTACACACCCGTTGTCCAGAGTTTCTGCGTTTCAGTGCCAAGCCTTTGGCTGTGGAACCAACCTAACTGGCAAAACAGGAATGTAACAGATGATCCCGGGACATGAGTCATATTAACTATTTATACGGACGAGGTTGCTAAGGCATCACAGGAAGCACATGCACGCGGCGCTCTGCTGGGACACGTCTACTGGATTAGGGAGACAGATGTCATTTGTCCCCTACAACCTGCTCTCAGATAGAGAGTTTGGGATTGTAATCAAATCAAGCTTGAGAAACTGTCTTGGTGTTAGATTGAGTCCATCGGTGCTGCTAGAGTTAAAAAAAAAAACGGCAGGTAAAAACCTGCCCAGTTGTGGAAGATACATTTTCCTCCTAGAGGAACTGTTAGTTTTGTTTTCTGTTGGGGGTGGGGGGGGAAGGAGTTTTATTTTTCAGCTTAACTCCTCAGGGAACATTCATGTTATTGTTAGCCAGATTCAGCTGTTATCATAATAAAGGAACCAATCAGTCCGGTCCACCTTTGCTGTTTTAACACTTGCTAGCTACCATATTAGTTGGTATTATACCTGAAAATGATGAACACCAGGTTCTCTAAGCGCCTTGTGACAATATTTGCAAATGGAGTAAGGGATTGGCATAGCCCGTTAATGTCACTGAATCCACATGCCACCTGAAGGAAAAGCCTGTGCACAGTGATTCACTGGGCCTGGTACCAACTGACCGTGTAAATTATGTTGACTTTCTTTAGGGAGCTCCACTCATTGATTCAGCAACATATACAGAGCACCTACTGCATTAGGCTAAGTACATGGGATACAGAAATCAGAACGACATAGCCCCTGCCCTCAGTGTGGTTACAAGCTACAGGTGTTTATAGAGGAGGCAGACACACAAAGATAATTATCACACACTCTGGTGAGTGCATTGTTGTTAAACAAAGAGTCGCAGCTCAGAGAAAATCTATTTCTAACTGACTACCACAGTTGAATTTGAAGCAGCTAAAAAAGCCATTTTATGTATACAGGTTGTCCCTTTGTGAGAATAGCCACCCCATAAAGTATTTGGTCTGCGTTTCAACTGTGACCTTCACCACCGTGTGCCTGGGCTGTGTCTGAGTCCCCCCCGCAAAGCTGGGGTCACTCATTCCTGCTCTCGGACTCGGTTACAATCATGCCCCAAGGAGACCTGTGCCCTATGGTATTGCAGTCATTTTATATTTCCTTGAAGTGGTCCTCACTAAGAAAGAAGGATTTATAGTAAGCCAGGTATTTTAATAAAGTAGCATTTTACTCCCACTTTCTCCTGTAACAGAGCTTGGCAAGCTTGTACAGGAAAGGGCTAGATAGTAAATATTTTAGACTTTGTAGGCCATGCATTCCCTGTTCCAACACTCAACTCTGCCATCTTAAGAGAAAAGCAGCCACAGACTGAGAACGCATAAACAAATAGGTAAGGCCGTGTGCCAATAAAACTTTATTTACAAAGCCAGGAGATGGGCCAGATTTGGCCTGCAGGCCATAGTTTACCAGCCCTACTCTGTAAGCAGCATTTTTTTCTTCAGTCTTGAACAGTTGAAATGTACTGAGGGTAGGCCATAAGGAGTAATGAGCATTCAGCCTGCGGTCAGGAAGTCTGCATCAAAGCCCGATGCCCCGCTGCGGCTTTCACTGATGTCCTTCCACCTGTGCCTTCTCCGTACAGTGAGGGTGGAGACAAACCGACTGCTCAGCCACCTTTGCCCACTGGTGCTGTCTGTTTCCAGAAGGACACAGGATCTGCTGATAGAGTCCACCATGGATAAGAAATTTAGAGAGATGTTTTGCCTTCACCAGGATCTGGATAGACTAGAATTGTGGACTAAATCTTACCAAGTGAAATTTAGTAGGAAAGAGTGTAAAGTCTAGTGCTGAGGTTTTAAAAAGATATAGTGTCCGGCAGACAGGATGGGAGAGTCCTGGATTGAAGCAGTACAGGCGAAAGGTTTGAGCTGATGACTGGCTCAGGATGAGTCAACCAAGTGGCTGCCGCACAAGCAGGGTGGGTTTAAGCTGCATTAATGGAGAATAGTGCCCAGGAAGAGAGGGCATGAGCCCTTTCTAAGCTCTGTGCTGACAAGACCACACCTCAAAGGGCCGTTGCCAGCATTAGACACCACCCCTCAGGTCAGACTTTGACAGCCTGGAGAGTGTCCAGAGCAGAGGGAATTCCCAGCCCTTCCTTGACAGGAGAAGGAAGGAAGGCCACGTTCAGGGGCAGGGGGAGGCAGCAGGGAGGGCAAGAGACCAGGGATATGGAAACTGCTACTACACAGAAGAGCTCTTTTAGAAAATGACTTTTCAAAAAAAGTGTAAATCTTTAGCATCTAGATTAGTACCCAGAACATAATAGGCACTTGGGTATTTGTTGAAAGAAAGCCCCTAAGTATGCGAAGAACATTCAAGTGGAAGAGGCACTCTGCTTGTTCTTGGTGGCGTCAGAGATCAAATGAGGACAGTGGTTGGGAGCTACCAGAGGCTGCCTTGGTCTTAGCACGAGACCTTGCACCTGGGAGGCAGCCAGAGTGCCGCTTTGGGAGTCCCCAGGTCAATCTGAGCACAGTGCCACTGCTCCTGGTGCCATCTGCTAGCCACGTTTTATTAAGCTGCTCATTGTGTCACCTTAAGGCCACTTTGGGCCTGAGAGTCTGGTATGTTTGCATTTTCTGCACATGCAGGTTCTTGGCATCCACACTGTATCTCCCAAAATGTAGTGTGGACTGGCGCTGTGTGAGACAGTGTTAGCTATTACACAGACTGATATCTTTTATTTAAATATTTGTGTATTTCTTTTCATGTGTACTAGGAAAAAATAAAGCTAAAATCATAATTTCATAAATATTGTGTGGGACAAGGTTGTATTGAAAGAGCAAGTGAATTAAACTTGATTTAATTAATTAAAATTTTACGTAAATAACTACATATATATTCAGTGATGGCAAAAATTCAGAAAGTGGTATGTGAATAGCAGAAGTCTGTTCCAAGTACATTCTGTTAAACTCTCAACTCAGACACCTAAGTCATTTTATTTTTCTTACTAGTCTCCCAATTCCATTTTCTACCTGTAATAGGATTCTTTTCTCTATGACACAATCCCATCACCAAGTGAGACTCAGGTGATTTCCTTTAAAAAAAAAATGCAGTAAAGCCCATGGAGGAAATTCCGTAAGAGAAAAAAAGCGAACAACGTCTTGAAACATTCTACCACCCGACTACTCCATTGCTTTCATTCCCCCTTCAGCGCGAATTCCTCCCTGAGTCTCTGGGTGAACATTTATCAGAGGCAGACGTCCTTTCTGTTTTCCGTTTTCATTTCAGCACATCAGGTTGCCTTGCTGTGAACTCCTCTTCACTGCGTTTTTTGCTCCCAGCATTGTCAGCCACTTGTCATTCCTCAAACCTAACATAGTCACTTTTCATACTTCACTTTGACCTTGATGTCCTTGTAACCAAAATGGAATTTACACGGGAGGTCAGGTGCTAGAGTTTCAGCCTCTTCTCCAAATTCTTTCCTTATGAAGTTTTAGATACCCTCATTTTCCTTGTCTATAATTTTCCTTGGTGTTTTATAATTTAACGTTTTCACTTGAACCTTATCATTCTATTGGTTTTTGCCTCTGATCTCCCTAGGGGGTCTTGTATCTGTAATATCCTCTCACCAATTCATTAAAGTCTCTTTTTTCCCCACTTAAAAATGTTTCAGAAATCTGTGAGGACCCCATGTCCCCTAGGTATAGGTTGCTGAAGCCTCAGGTTTTGCCCTCTTTAAGTAAAGCATTCTCACTGTACTCCTTTCTTTATAAGCTTGCTCCAAACATTAAAGATATTTATCTCTTTCTGTATATTTATACAATCAAATTATTAGCATAGTGCCTATTGTATCCATTATCTGATGTGTAGCTCCAATTTTGGATGTGTTCCGTATAAAATGTCCATTTCACTATGCTGGGTCAAGACATGGATGAGATTAGGAGTGACGATTATTCAGTTTGCTTTGGACAGTCCTGGAATGTAAACAATTAGGCTTGTAATGAATGTTTTATAGAAAGTTGAGCTCTGTAGAAAATGTGCCCAGGAGATAGATAGATTTTATATACACACACACACACACATACATACACACAAAATAACTGTTGTTCTTTTGTGGATTTTTTAAAGGCTGGACTACAGTGGACCTTCCAGAGAGTTTTTCTTCCTGGTATCCAGAGAACTCTTTAACCCATATTATGGCTTATTTGAGTATTCAGCCAATGACACATACACAGTACAAATAAGTCCCATGTCTGCTTTTGTAGACAATCATCATGAATGGTAAGTCATGTTTTCCCTAACTCTTTTCTTCCGTTGATTTCTGTTGTCTTATTTTTTATAGGAATCCACATTTTAAACATTTTTCCCTTGAGAAAATTATATTTTTAATTCAACATCTCATTTGACTCTCGTTTTTGTTGTCAAATGATATATACAGGGAGTCTCTGAGCTAAGAATAGATTGTGTTTCATAAGACTAACTTCAGGTGAGCTGGGTAGAATTCAAAAGGTTTCATCAAAGAAAAGTGGGATCCCCGAAATCCCTCTCTGCACCTTGGGGCATCCCTGAGCTCTGAGGCGGGGTCAGGGTGGGTGGGCGAAAGTCCTGGACCAGGGGTCAGGCTGCTTCTAGAGCAGCCCATGGGGGAGTGGCTGACACTGGGGGAGGGACAGAGGATGGGGGACCTGGAGTGACTGAGGACAAAAGGGCAGGGGTGTGAGGTCACAGCAGACGCCACTTAGCCTAGTAGTGGCCTCTGAAGTTTGTGACCAGGGATTGCCCCTTTTTCTAGTTTCTCACAGAACATCATCAAGGGAAACTGGTACAGGCTTCCCGTCTGGGGATTATTTATTCTGAAAATCCCAAATTGCACTCTTCCCAAACATCCTTACATTTTAAAGAAATTCCTGCATGTGTAGACTAAATACTTTTATAACCCCTGTTTGCTTATTCCTGCTCATTTGCACTGATAGTGACAAAAAAAAAAAACCCTAGAGTAGGACTCATGAAAAAATTCTTTGAGTCATGAGGGTAATATTGGTAGGTGGAGGGCATTAAATTCTAAGACTTATTTTTCAAACTAACTTCCGTTTAGCTGCAGTTTGGAGTCTTCCCAATTATAGCAATTGCCGTTATGCTAACATAAGTGGAAAAAAAGAAAAGCAAAGCTGAGGGACATTAATCTTAAACTAGCCGCCTGATGTTGAAATTACAAATGGACACTGTGAGCCTCAGGGTGGATTCATGCTCTTGGAAGGCATGAAGTTTTCAGAGAGCTAGAAACTTGCGTACTTTTGGAAGAGAAAATAAGTGGCCATCTCAAGTCAGAGAATCCAGTCATAACAGATATATCTAATAAAGTTTCCAGAGTGATTCAGAATAGACTTGAGCTTTGAAATTTCAGAGAACAGAATGTCCCCTGAGGAAACTCCCCCGAATGTCCACATGCATAATTCTCGTATGGTGACAATTATCATCAGAACTGGGATTTGAGAGAGAATAGGGGCAGGAACGTTTTCACTCTAAGACTGGGATTTTTTTTTCTCAAAAGGGAATTGCTACTGTGTTTGTATTAGAGAAATCCTGCTGGCAATTGTTGCAAACAAATTAGAAGACAACATTCCCTCCACCATCGCGGTCTCATTTTGTCAAAGTCTCTTAGAAGTGGTTTGGGGAAATTTCACTGACATGCTCACAGGGAATTCCTGATGGCCGTGTGGGGTGCTACATGGTAGACATCACTGACACGGGTGAAGGTGGAGCAGTATCTCCCCAAATAATTGGAGCGAAGCACATTTCTTCAACACGTAGGTGTGGCTGTTGGCCTAATGAGGACACAGCCTGTAGTGCACACTAACTCTCATGGACCTAGTAGGCGATTAATCTTGGACCTGCAGAGCTGGTTAGAGCTGGAAGGCATTCTAGAAAGCAAATCAAGCTACTTGGAAACTCCCTGACGTGTAAGTGATCTTGTGCTTTTCCTCCGCAGGTTCCGGTTCAGTGGTAGGATCCTGGGGCTTGCACTAATACACCAGTATTTGTTGGATGCCTTCTTCACACGGCCCTTTTATAAGGCTCTTCTCAGAATGTAAGAGCATTTTTATTGCCTGTGAGTTAGCATGTGAGAATGCAACATGTCCTTTATTAGAAAGGGTTGATGTCATTTATCTGCCTACTACCTCAAATCTGTTGTTATTAAACTTAAGAGTGGTTTAGATGTCTGAAACCAATGCAGTTTCGAATATAATTACTGTGTTTTTCCTGCCTCTGACCTTTTGTTTCTGTCTTGGTCCCAATGTCTTAGTTTTGCTATAATTCAAATAATTTATTCTCATTTGTTGCAACATATGTTTCTTAAAAACAGTTGTACTTGAAATAGAGCACTGGAATTCCTGTGGTATTAATGCTGATTATTAATAGAACAGTTGTGGGTTAGTGTGGGTGACTCATAGCCCCCTATCTGTTATGAGAGATGCTTTATGTTTTGCTTTATGCGAACTTTCAAGTGCTTACTCTTGGTTCACATTTTCATTCTCCTTTGTTTTGTTTCTGTCTTACTTCGTTCATTTGTTACAGGTGGGCAATCCTATCTTTCTCTTGAGACCTCCCTATATGCAAGACAGTAATTTATGATGGCAGGTGAACAATTAGCATTCACAGAACTTTTCTTCATTGTTATCACAGTGGAAGGTTGCAATTACTATAAAATATAAAGCAAACAGTTTCTGTCCTGTAATCTGTGGTAACTGGCAAGGCTGAGCAGGAGAAGGCAACTGTCTCTGGGGGTGGCGGCTCAAACTTGCAGTGAGAAAGCACAGAATGAATGCTTGGTTCTGTGTTGCTCATTCCCTAAGTGAGACCAGGTACCTGCTTTCTGCAAAACAGAAGCCTAGAATTCAAAAGAAGATAAGGTGTTTCTAGTGCACTCTTGAGACAGTCAGTAGGAAGACTGCGGCCATCTTCCCTTTTGATATCTGGGCAGATGAAGCCCTGGGCAATTGGGCATCTTCTTCTGTGGTCCCCGGCTCACTGTCTGTCTTCCCATTGCATTGCTTTATCTCTCATCTTCTCATGAAGCTCCCTGGAGGAGCGGTCTGTACCAACCGTCGGTGCACCCTCGGCACACTGTGCCTGGCTCCCCTGCACCTGTAACCTGTGCAGGCTTTTAAAGAATATTTTTTAGATCCTAGTGGACCACCTGCTGCTTTTCATCCTGTTGCCCACCCCAGTGCCCACCTGTGTGTCTGAGTCTTGCATCCCGGGTGCTCCCCTGTCCCCGCTCTCCTTTGCTTTTTTTAAAATCTGCTTTGTGGGCTTCTCTGAGCTTCCTGTAAACCTCAGTGTCCCTGAAGCTTCCCCTCTTGGCCTTCTTCTTTTCTGTGGGTTCTCACGGGGAAATCTCTTCCCCTATTTCCTCTCGGATCTGTGCTCCTGGTTTTCATCTCCCTTGAGTTGGAGGCTCAAGCCGTCAGCATTCCACCAAGTATCTCACAGGCTCCTCAAACTCAACGTGGTGAAAACCAGACTCATCAATTCCCCCCTACCTAAAAATGTACCTTTTCCCAGGTGCCCAGTGGCAGTTCCCAGTCCCAGGGTTCTCAAGTCACTCTGGTCAGAAATCGGGAGTCGCCCTCAAACAGGAAGGTGCTCTTCCCCGCCTGCCACCGCACCCCCACGGCAGAGTTCACAAATTGTTTCTGGAACTGCTTCCTGCTGAACTTGCTGTGGCCTCAGGAGTTTTTCCAACCTGTAGCCCTCAAGACTGACAATTAGTCAGAGTGGGTTTGCAACATGAGTTTATTTGCTCTCCCTGTTTTCGATATCTTTCCTTATATCCCCCAACAAACCCATTTACTAATTTCCATGTTTGCCTCCTAAATAATTTTTAAATTCATCCTATCCTCTCCATCTTTTATAACTGTGTCCTAATTAAAAACCTTGTTTTTTCCAGATTACTATGGTGGTCTATTAATTGGTCTCCATCCTTTAATAACAAGCATACCTCCCCTCATTCTAAGTAGTCATTACTATACACTTCGACTTCCAGAAAACAATTTAAAGTCACAGCTCACATCTGATCGTGTTACTCCCTACCTTAAAAGCTTCCAGTAGTTCTGAGTCACTGAGCTCCTTAGAATGGCCTGCTCCCGGCTCCCAGCCTCATTCTCTGGACATTCTCTTGTGGTTGACTCTCTGGTCCTGCTAATAGGCTTGGAGTATTCTGCATACTTCATGCCTTTGTGGTTTGTTCATGTTGTTCTATTCTTCTCCTTTGTCTTTGCCCTTATCCTCCTTTTCATCTGTTCCCCTTTACTTCTCTAGGTTTTAAACATCCTGTAAAATTTAATATAGGTATCATCTAAACCAAAAATCTTCCTGAATCTCAAGGTCAAAGTAAATGTCCTTCATGTTTGTTATGAGAGCTATATTTACCTTTCCTTTTTTCTAATTGGAGTATAACATACCTATTAAAAATTACACAAATTATGTGTTACCCACCCTAGGCTATTACTAATCGCCTTATATTAACTTATCAATTTGTGTGCCCATCTCCCCATTAATCTCCTTCAGGGCAATTAGTGTTTATGAAGTAGCTGTTAAGCTATCTGGCACATACTTGATGCCTACTAGTTGTTTAGACTGAACCAAACAAAATGACCTTTGAATTAAGCTGATGGGAGGAAATTCAAAAACAACCACAGCAAATCAAATGTTCCCTACCTTCCATGTACGTGATAGTTACTCCACCTCATGTAGATCCTCACTCAGCAAGAAAAAAAGAGGAGAGAACTCTAGAAAACCATTATAATTGTTTGCAGAATCATGGGAAAAGTAAGAATCATGAAGGAAAAGGGGATATACATGATCATGGATCATATCTGTTCTTTGGGGGAGGCAGTTAAAGTGTAGTATAGAAACATGGGAAGGATTTCTAATTAGGAGAACAGTACTTTAAGATAGTATGACATAGCCAAAAGAATCCTGGACACCGTCGTCACACCAAGTGCCAGGTCCTGCTCCGGCATCAACTGTGAACAACTTTGCCAATGGCTGTCACCTTTTGCACCCTCTGTTCTGTGTCTCTGAATGAAAAGACAGACTGAGTGATTCCTAAGATATTTTATAAATATCCAGGGTTTTTAAATATACTACCAAATTCTGAATTATTTCACTGATTTGGTTACTGAATTTGGCTAAGAACATTTTAGAAATCAGGGCCCATTTAGTTGACCTGGTTCTTGTCTTTTACTCTTCGTTTCTTTCCTCATGACTCTGGGTTTTTGCTCTTGGCCATGCCCACATATTTATTTCTGTCTGTTTGCGTCCTAGTCTGTGTGACCTGAGTGACCTAGAATACCTCGATGAAGAATTCCACCAGAGCTTGCAGTGGATGAAGGACAATGATATCCATGACATCCTGGACCTCACGTTCACTGTGAACGAAGAAGTTTTTGGGCAGGTCTGTGGATGTGAATAACTGGTGACTAAGTGTGGTAATTGAAGGCTGTTGGTTGACGAGGAATTAATTTAGTGGCTAAGATCAGATGCGTATTTATTCGTGGCTTGTTGGGCGGTTTAAACCAGGTTTATGCACAGTTACAATAATCTTGGTTGCCAAGATCATTCTGTGCCAGCTGCAGGTTAAGATGGTCTGATTTACAGATTGTGATAACTGTGTGTTGTAAGCAATCTTTTTATTTCCAACCGAAATAGCCATATAACACATTAGACTGTGCCTTGTCTAATATATAGTTTTAAAAAGCCCATTCCACCCCAAATTGAATGTTAAATTACTGACTTGGCATTTGTATTTAACTCTCATTCATATTTCTGAACTGAAATTGATTGTTTTGAAGCTGAGGGAAGGTAAACAATGTTTTGGTGAAGGCTTGAAAACACATTGATTTTTCACAAAGCTGATGGAAGGGTTGCATCAAAGATTTCTTCCAGAGATTATATACTAGTTTATGAGTAATATTCTAATTTAGACATTAATATTTGGCTACTTTTCTGAGTTCCACATTTTGAAAAAGAAGTTCTCAACTTAACATTCAGTTGAATGTAATTCTGCTTCCTTAAAGTAAATCTTCACTTAAACAGGGGCTTTTCTATATGTGGTTGATTCTGAACCCTAAAGGAATTCATGAATATATGTTTTTGTCAAATACTAAACTGGTAGTGACCCAGAGTCTAGAGCCAATTTATTGTCATTTAAAACGTTTATCCTGTTGTTTAGTCAGGATTTTGAAAACTTAACCTTCCGCACTTGGAATATGTACTTTTTTAACCACTGCGAGGCCTGTAGACACCAGCCCGATGCCCAGTTTCTCCTGAGCTGTGGTGTGAGCCTGGGCCCCTCGCGGCCTCCCTGTGGCAGCAGGGTTTGTACAACCTCAAGGGCATCGCGTTGGGGTCAGCCCTTCCATTTTCTCATCCCAGATTACCGAACGAGAATTAAAACCAGGGGGTGCCAATATCCCAGTCACAGAGAAGAACAAGAAGGAGTACATTGAGAGGATGGTGAAGTGGAGGATCGAGAGGGGCGTCGTGCAGCAAACGGAGAGCTTAGTGCGTGGCTTCTACGAGGTAAAGGCCGTCAGTGGGGGTGCGGCTCTGCAGTCGGCTGTCAGCGGTGCCACAACCCATCTCATGTGGTCGATGCATGTGCTGTGTCCCCAGCTTTTGCTGTACTTACCGGTACCCTTTCCATTTAGAAACTCCAATCGTTTTTTCCTGTATGTTTCAAGAACATTCACAAAAGTCTTAATGCCCTGTCATAAGAGATTATTGGAACAAAACAGCCTGAATTCAAATAGCACTTGACAACTTAATGATTACTGATCACATTTAGGTCATGTGTCTTACTCATGCTTAGATGTGGATATCACATCTCATGCTTGATATGTGAAACGACAGTAGCTGAGTGTCTGAATGGTTGTTACAAGTGTTCCACGTGGCTTGTGCTGTAGAAGCACTACATCTTTTTCAAAAGAGAAAAACAAACTGGATTCGTCAGTGCTCAACTATAAAATAAAAATTCTGTTGAGGGAAATCTCATCAACCTTGTACTAAGAGTACCTTATATTTGGAGAGAGCTTTGGGGTTTTTGAAGTGCCCACACACAAGAGTGTAGCTGTAGTACCCCCCCAAACTCTTGGTGCTCTCCTGTTCTGATGAAGCTTAATTATAGCTGAGATTTTTCCAGGTTCTCGAGCCATGCCCTGTATTCTCTTTACTCCGTAGGTGGTGGACGCCAGGCTGGTATCTGTTTTCGATGCAAGAGAACTAGAACTGGTCATCGCGGGCACAGCGGAAATAGACCTAAGTGACTGGAGAAACAACACGGAGTATAGAGGAGGTGAAATTTGATGTGTAGATGGCTGTATTTTAAGTGTGAAGTCAAAGGGAGGCAGCTGGTGCAGCATGCGGGTCAGAATCCAGGACAGGCGAGAACATCGCCCTCTAATCACAGGTCCGGTGCAGTCTCCTTTGAGACCTTGGGCAAGGTGCCTTCCCTTCATTTCCTAGTTACCGCATCTGTTGAGGGGAGGAAGGACTGTTTACACACTATCTAAGGATGTCATAAGGCTTAATCATTGGTGAAGAAATGTGACCATCAGAACACTAATTAATTGTTTTATGGTGTCGGTAGTAAGGCTCCAGGCAGTTCAAACTCCACCCGTGTTCTCCCTTCATTCTACAACTTGAAGAGGCACACCCTCTGCAAGTCCTAGTAAGCAAACAGTTTTTCCTCATGTAATTGTGCTACTTAGCAGTTGTAATTCACAGTTGAAACACATGAGTGGAGTAAGATATGGTTCTCAAAATTTAAGTTTATTGAACAATCCCTTTTACATTCAAGCATTAAGTTCAAACTAAAGAGGAAACTGCTGTTTAAAACTGCACCATATGACACTTCACTGGTTGGGAAGCTTTAGACTAAGTGGCCTCTGTACAGATCAGAATAAATTCTCAATTTGTAATTGGGACCGAAGCCATTTAAATTTGATCGCTGAATCAATATACTTTGAAAGGGACCTGATGGTAACACAGAGTTAAAGTTTTATCTAATAATCTTAAGCAAAGAAAGAATACAGGTTCTGAAATGTATTGCTGTGTTATAAAGTCCTTGGAAAGTCGTGACAAACAACAGTTGTTCTTGTTTAGGTTTTGGTTTTGGCTTTTTGACACAGAATGTAAAAGGTTAGCAACAGTTCTAAACTTGGAGAGTGAAAAATACAAACATTAAGTCACTGAGTTAATCATTTATTTAGCAGAATAAACTGAGTGCTCATCAGTTGTCCATTTATCTGTAAATTGAAACAGAGATGTGAAGAAAACAATTTTAAAAGTTCAGAGTAAAAAATAGCAACATTTGCTACATTGCTTTTGTTTTCGCCTGTGGTGCTCGGCTCTCCCAACTCATCACCGTAGCTGTGGCTGCCTTTGCTCACTCGTTTTCTCTGAGAGGCAGTATTAAATCGCAGCTTCCATTGCTGCTATTTCTGACGTTCAATTACCATAATAAGTCTTTTCCAGTTTGCCCAATGTATATAATCCATATATGGCCTTGGTTATTGTAACTTGGTTAACCAAATTACTTTCACTAACTAGAACACAATTTCTCCCCCATGCTACATAACTTGCATCTTACCATAAGTACTGTTAGCTCATTCCCCCAGCCTAGGGGCGTCTGAGAGCAATGCTATTCATCGAATCAACCACTTTTTTATTTACATAGTGTAATCTTATTCACAGTCTATGACTAATCAAGCACCTATTTCTATGATCATTATAAATCTTATTAAATGAAACCCTTGGGAGGAGAGTGATGGGGGGCAAAGCAGGAAAAGGACAAGACACCCAGCTGTCACTCGTGCTAACACAGCTCGTTGGCACCGAGAGAAGAGGTGGCTCTCAGCCACTTGCCATATGTCTGTGAGGCAGCTGTGTACAGAGGCTACAACGAGACAGTTCTGCTCCTCCTTCTCCAAAAGGTTTGCCAAAAAGGATAAAGGAAAGGCAGGAAAAGGTTGATTCAGAAGGTCAGAAAATTTTAAAGCCACAAAGAGCCAATGTACTATTTTGTAGATGAGAAAGCCGTTTGCTCAGCACTGAACAAATAGCTACTCTTTGTTAGAGCGAGGACATGGGCCCGTGCATCACCGGGTGCAACCCAGTTTTGTTCGCCCTTCACCTGGATCCCTTCCTTCTCCGAAGGTCACTAAGCCTAACTAATGTAATGGTGAACAGTAAGGAAGGATTCCCCCCAAGTCCTACCACCACTGAAACATGTGAGGAAAAACTCAAATGACAGTAGTTCTACCCACCTTCTATTTGGGGCTTACTTCTAACTCAGAATTAGAGTAGCTTTATGCACATTGAATATGTCAGTTAATTGGTTTGAACCACTAATTGTACCTTAATCTCTGTGAACTTAATTTTTCTTCATTGCAAGGTTTGGAATCCACAACTACTTCCTTAATCCATCTGTGGGATGATACTTTTAACATTTTATTAAATTCTACTTAAGCACCAGATAAAAGTAATGTTTAAGTTGGTGATTATTTGGGATTCATTAGTCAAAGAAATTAAAGTAGTAAAATTACTTCTTTTTTATTAATAAAAAATTTGACTTAAAATATGAACATTATTAGTAGTTTAAAACAGTTTGCAGTTATGTAGTAATTTGTATAATTACTTGACTAATTATACAAATTAGTGTCTCTCTTTTACCAGAAGCTCTGTGAGGGTCTGTTTTCTTTGCCACTGTACCCCAAGCTTAGTGTGGTGTTTGGCATAGTGATATACAAAAATTATTTCTTAAGTGAATGACCAAAAGAGTTAGCATTTCCAATAACTGCCGTTATATTTTTCAGAAGTGATATGGTTAAAATAACTCATCTGCTGCTCTTCGCTCCGCTAAGCTTCATTTAGAGACTGCTGAAAAAAACAGCAGCCTCTTGGTTTCACTGAGGGTTGTTTTTATTCAACTTTCCACACTCACACAATCATAATTATGGTGTTACTCCTTAGTCTTAAATGATAAACAGCCTTTAAAGAATCCAAGATGATGATATATGCCTGGGGGGGGGGCGCTTTGGTCAGTGTGTCACAGTGGCCTAAGATAGAAAACTCAAAGTAATACGGGCTTTTGTGATTGGTTCGACAGGATATCATGACAATCATATTGTAATTCGGTGGTTCTGGGCTGCGGTGGAAAGATTCAATAATGAACAACGACTACGGTTGTTACAGGTAAGATGCCATTAGTCATCTTTTTAATGCATTAATATAATTACTGTTGGAATTGCATATTGTAATCATTGTTAAGTATACTCAATAAATACACTTCATGTTTACATGCACATGTGAGGTACACCGTTTCCAGACTCTTCAGATTGCACGGTTCTTCGGCTCCATCCCTATGCAGATCATCCCCAACCAAGTGCATGCATTTCATCAGAGTTGTGAGGAAGTACCAACTCCAGTCCAAGAACCCCAGAAACAACATCTGCCTTCAGGGTAGTTTGGCCCTTTCAGAAAGAGGTCCCAGGGTACTCTGCAGGCCAGCTTCCTTAGCAACAGATGATCTTCATTCATCCCTTAAGAAGTGACCCAGTTCCTTGATAAAGAGTCCTTTCTTTTTCTCCATCTAACTTTCAACAAATTGGAGGTAACAATGAAGTTCAAGAACACTGGAAAAAACTAACTCATTTTCTTGTGGTGTTTATAGTTACACTGGGAAATTGCTGCTTGGTTGCAGCTAAAAAATATCAGACATGAAGAAGACTTCTGGATGCTCAGATAGAGCCTTACATGTAGGCTGGGTCTCAACTCCTTCGGATCAAGGATCTGGCCCTCAAATTTTCAGGCCCAGAATTTTTTTTTCTTTCATTGCCTTTTTGTTTTTTTAATTCACCATAGGTTGGTCAGGGACTGATGCTAACTAGACTTAGATTGACTGATACACCCGTTCATTAATCTGTAGTGGGAACTATACCTGGTTGAAGGTTCTGAACTGGTCAGCTGTACCAGATGCTTCATCTCAAACCCCGCACATCCCCTTCCCCTTTATAACGTCCTGTCCCTCCCTGGTTCTTTGTCAGAATTCTCATGTTACGGTTATTCCATGACTGTAGAGATCTGTCTTCCAAGCTTCCCCAGTAGCGAGCTGCGTGCTGCTCTTCCCGCAGTGCTGCATGTGACTGACGCATGCCTTCCTCAGCAGCCGGCCGCTCGGCTTCACCTTCTCCTTCTGTTCTCTCGGGTCGACAGTTTGTCACAGGCACATCCAGCATTCCCTATGAAGGGTTCGCCTCTCTTCGAGGAAGCAATGGCCCAAGAAGATTCTGCGTGGAAAAGTGGGGGAAGATCACCGCACTTCCCAGGTAAAACGCAAAACAGTATTTCCTTACTGTCATTGCACTGTTCTAGGAAAGACCTGTAACTTATGTATATTAATTACTGCTTTATGTTAAAAGTTTGGGAGAGTGGGAAAAGCTTTTAGAATAAGTTTATTTCATTTGCTGATACACCTTTCTAAGTGAAGAAGAAAGCTCCTCCTGGTCACAGTTAACATACACGCACACATATATTAACATACAAAATGCAACATAACCGAAGCCTTTGTTAGCTTTAGCAAAGCAACGTTGGCCATCATACTGTGCTTCCTTATGATGTGGCTCTCGTGTAGATGTTTCCAGAAACTCTCATTTTAATTTTGTATTTATAACTATTTAGAATCCTTTCACTAACAACGACCACTGGGGATTCTAAAGAATATGAAACCATGCAAATGGGCTGTGTGCCTCTTTTGCTTCTGTCAGCCGCGCCGTGGGAATGCTCTCTGTGCTGCATTTTCACTCAGAGGACGGCACGAGTTCACAGAGTGGAAATCATTGCTTTCCTGTTGCTACTAATATATATGTGAGACTCTTACCTTGCTACTTAAAGATAAGGCAGCATTTATGAATAAAAGTGCTTGGGGTTGAATGGAGATAACTGGGGCTGGAACAAGAAAAGGAGGGAGCAAGCGAACAGAAGCAGGATGGAGAAGAGTTGGTTTTAGAACTCCTTTCTCTAATCAGCAGTAATAATGAGCTTTTGAAGTAAAAGGACCCGAAATTGCTTATTATTTTACTGTTAATAAAACTGCAATTTGGAAAGGTTAAATGGTCTCCCCAATTTGTGTGGTTCTGAGTTTCCTTAAGGACAAACGGCTTTAAGAAACCTGTTAACAAGACTTTCTTCTTACCAACTGCAAAACACCAGTTCTTAAGAGTGATGTTGTCGGCATCCACCCATGGGAAGAGCAGTGCAGGAAGCCCAGATGCAGAGAGCAGCGACTAGTGCCAGCGCAGGGTGGCCCGACCTCCGCACTCACCTTGGTGCATCTCAACCGTGAGCGGAGGCACTGCACTCAAACCCCGAAGTGCTACCTGGCACACCTGATGTTCCAAATTTGGCAGACTATACTTTCATTATGTAAAGAACTCTTCCATTTTATTTGTGCCTGAATCGTGTTTTTTTTCCACTTCAACTCATATGTGTGTCTTAAAAGCAGATTTCCATGGTCTGAGCAGGGCCTTTCGCCTTCTGGAGAAATTCAAGCATTAGCATCAAGGAGGCAGGAAATGGCAGATGGATTGTGCCCCTTTTCTGAAAGTCTGTTTTTGAAAAGATTTACTTGTGTAAGGCAGATGGAACAAACTGTAACGAGAACCAGATCAGTTGTTCACATTTAATCACTGCAGTGTTCTCCAACCCTGGTGAGCAGGGAGAGGCAGTCTGGTGTAGTCATGAAAGTTCAGCTTCAGAGAGACTGGGTTTCCTCCAAGTTCTGTTCTTACCCACAGCAGTGTTTTGGAGAAGTTGGAGAAAGTTGGAGAAAGTTACTCTTTCTAAGCCTCGGTTTCCTCATCTTCCGTGTAGGTTGGTAATACTGAAGATTAAATGAAATCATTTATCTAAAACACTTAACTGCTGATCCTGGCCCTGGATAAGCATCTAGTTAGTGGCTAATGGCTGCCATTATGATTTCTGTGACCATCGTTGATAATATGTACCAGGCAGTAGCGTACTGGAAAAAACGCAGGGTTGGGAGTTAGAAGACCTGGATTCTAGGCCCACCTCTGCCACCAGCTACCTCTGGGACCTAGAAGATCACTTGATTTGGGGACCCCAGTTTCCTCTCACATAAAAGGCTGGCGGTGGGGGATGGTATAATAGGTTTGGTTGAGCAAGAAATAACACCAACAGATTGTTGAAGGATCTCGGGGGTTGGGCTGGATTTACTTTTTTACTTCCCCAGGAGCTCCGGGAAGTTCGTGTGCTGACTCACTAGAAGCGAGGGTGTTCTTCGGGGTTGTTGCACACACACAGTTGGGCAACAGGCGTTGTTGTTTCTCCCCTTCTTTTTTATGACCTAAGGCTGCTTTTAGATTCTTCATTTTCCCCAGATTATAAAGTAGCATAAATAAAGATGAGATGAGGCACATCAGGAAAGCAGTCTGTGTTCATGTGTCTGTAACAAGCCCTAATTCTTCAGGTCTGATAGGCAGAAAGAGCTACTTGGCTATTCCACTTCTCATTCGTCTACTTATGTAACCTCGTTTAACAGGCATGACTGCTGATCCAAGCCCTGTGATGCACTAGCTCTGTGAGCCTAAGCAAGAGCCTAGATCCCTCTCCGAAGAGGAGGAATAACAATGCTGTGCTCAAAGAGTATTTGTGAGGAGTGAGTGAGATGCTATGCATGGCGGTCCTCAGGGACAGTAGGTTCTTGTTAACTTTTTAACCTTTTATCCTACATCTTCTATAAGCCACCATACTGCTGTAACTATTCAAATGTGCTCCACAGAAAAAGTATGTTTGGTGAAACACAATGAAAAGAAGAACCTCACCATCAGAAATGATTTCTTCACTGATAACATTTTCATCACCCTTTGGGACATGTGGGGTGTTACTTAGGTATGAAAAAGATCTGTAAGATTGGCTCTGATGTAAAGAGATTATCTTCGATGGCTGAGTCCATTTGTCCTTCCATCAGAACTTCCATCAGAAAGCTACCAGTTTCTGGTAGGTTTAAGCTGCAGGACTGAAGAGTGATTTGTGTCAAGCCGGTCAACCCTATGTTATTTCTTTTACTTATTAGTGAGATGGTGTTTATTTAAAATGTAACATTGTACACACTGGAGATGAAATGGATGGATGTCCTTCTTACTTGAAAAATCAGTTCTCTAAAAAGTCCGACATCATCTCAGGTCCGGTATGCAGTGGGGGAATCTGCGGGGAGCTGCAGCATGGAACGCTGGAAGTAGTTGTCAAGGATGAGGGCAAGGATGCTGGCAAACTGAGGACACCGCGGCCTTTCTAAACAGGGAGGCTTGGGAGCCTTGCAACCTTTTGAGCAAGCAAATGTGGGTCTCGTCTTTTCTCAGACGTCCTAGTCTCACTTTGCGGTCGCAGTGAGTGCAGCACTACTCACCATGTGGGCCAAGAAGTGTCAAATTATATACGGGTTGCCTCGGATGCCAGTGCAAGTTGAATCAGTGGTCCTTTTTTTCTCTCTTGTGGTAATAAAGTAACTAGAAACCCAGATGATAAATAATGATAGGGGCAGACGGGTGTCTCCTTAGAGGCTTATGGCATGAACACATCGCTGCACTTCCTCTGCTTCGTGGTTGGTAGTTAGCAGTATACCTTGCATTTGTGTAGATGTCCTGCCCCCAGTGTTCTCGCGGACTTGTGAGACAGTAATTCACTTTATGGCGATTGCTCGTAAACGTTCTGAGAAATAGGCTGCTGCCATGCTGCCATGCTGCCTGCTGTGGAAAAAGCAGGGCAAATCCTCTCTCCCAGCGTGGTCTGGGTTGACATGCTCATCTTTGAGGTTCTTGCCAAGGAAGATCACAGAAGAGTTGGAGAGCTTCGGTCATGATGTTCTTTTAAATATCATGCCAGTTCTGCCAAGGGGGGAAGCCTGGGTTTTTTTTTTTAATGATTCTGTCTGGAGAGTATCGTGAATGAAATGCTGACCCAAATTAAGAAGTAAGAGAAGCGAGAGTTAATTATGAAATGAGTATCTCAGGGAGATGGTTTTTCTAGTGGAATAGAACTTAAAAAAATACAGTTATTTTTTAAGAGAAAAAGATAGCTTTTTTTCATTTTTAAACTCTTCTTTTTATTCTTATCAAAAGTAAACTGCTCACCAAAAAAATGCCAAGGTGTTTAAAAAATATATATATATATGTCAAAAATCTACTATGGAGATCATCTTTAAATATTTTGGAGTATATGTTTTCAGTCATTTCTATATACACACCAACTTTTAAAAACAAAAAATATATGAGCAATAAATAATATATAATCATACTGTTTGCAACCTCTTCTTGTTTGCCAAATATTACTAATCATGCACATCTTTCCATGTCATTAAATATTGCTCTACAGTGTCATCAATAATTCAGTTTTTTTCCTCCTCAGTACAAAGAGCATTGTCTACTGTCAAAGTGAACCATCAGCTAGGAAATAGAAAATTAACTGAGGAGTCCTGTAATACAGTGTCACTGTGTTTAATTAAAAATGTTTCAGCACAAGAGACAGGCCCTGGGAGGCCCCTTGGTGGCCCATCTTTTCTGTAGTTGCCCCAAGGCAGTCCCTTTGGTCACCCCAGCCCCCACCCCCTGCTGGTCAGCTGAGGTGCCCTACGGTCTCAGAGGGGGTTGGCAGAGGATCCTCATGTACAGTCTGCTCCACAGTTTAATCTCTGGTATAAGGTCCTCTTAACTCTTTTCCCCTCTTCCCTCTCATTCAGTTCTTACTATCTGGCAAGAATATTTTAGGTTTTTACTTTATCCAATCATTGAATCAGCATCTGCTAGCAAAAATGTACCTGCGAGGTCTAGTAAGAGTACCTTATTAAAAATCCTTAAATGTGCTGTAATCCAAATGTACATTTGGGTTAATCTTTACTTTGGGAAGTAGGTAAAATGATCAGAAAAACATTTTGTGTCTAGAAGGGGCCTCTCGAGTCATTAATGTAAAAAGTAGAACTCCTGAACTAGTTTGTGATTCTCTCACGGAATGAAGAAAATTTCAGTGCTCTGAACAGAGAACAGGACCATCCAAGTCAAAATGACTCATGGTGCTTGGGAGCTGTTTCACCGGTCACGTTGTCAAGTGTGTATCGGTGACGGAAAATCATTACTGCTCTTAAGGAACGGTTATAACCCTTTTCTTGGCCTCAGGAACAAAAACTAGTTTGGGTTTGTCTCTTCCCACCACCCTAGTCCACCACATAGCACCTCTCACCTGCTGGCTGAACTTCTGCTTCTGTTCATACATCCTGTTCATTCTGCGCTCAGCAACCAGAGTGATCTTCTGAAATCTCAAAAACACCCCATCCTTTGCTTTTGTGTCTCTCCATCCTCATCTGAACAATTGGTATAAATAACCGTAATTATGTTACAAATTTATTTGGAAGAGTAAATGAGATAACACATGCAAAGTGCTTAAAGTGATTCTTGACACATCATTCGATAAATTTAACCCTGATTATTATTGTTCCTAACACTTCGCCTTCAGAGACGTCATGGTATTGCATAGTGTTTAGGAGTGCAAGAAAAGATATTTCTGTTTTGCCTGGACTTCTAAGAGTTCTCATCCTGGAACAGTTTCTGACCAGGTTTTCTTCTATTGGCTTGAATTTCCTACATTTAAAAAGTATGTACTCTTCATCTTTCCCAGGACGAACCACAGGTGAGGACGTTACCTGCTGATAATGAATAGTTTCTCCTCCCAGTTATCCCTGGATGCGGGAATTCCCACTGTAGGACCATCCCACACTTTATTTATGGACCCGGGTGCCCTTTAACCAGGGTGGCCAATGAGACCTTAAAATAAGACATTAATTGTAACTGGAATTATTAAAGGCTCCAACAAGCACACGTTTACTATGTGTTGACCACTGTCCATGTGGACCACAGAGAGGGAAACAATAGATTTAAATGAACAGAGGTAGCCAACATCATTGCCACCAAAGCGTATGTGACAAGTTAGTGGGGGTAGTAACTGCCCTAGAGTTCCTTTTCATTGATTTATATTTACTGAACACCAGGGGAGGGTCAGGAGTTGTGCGCTGCCATCGTGGGTTACATGGATATTTGTGAACTAATCTCAGCAGAAATTCCTGACCTAAATTTTATGGTCGAAGAAAGTATTAATGGGGATAGGAGGGAAACTACGAATATTTGAAAAGTCATGACAGAAGTTATACCTTTATTTGTGTTACTAAATCACTGTAGGCTAACAAAATAATCACTACATTACTCTGATTGAATTTATCACTGTGCAATTGGTGACTTCTCATGCTGATTACAATCTCTGAATTCATCGTCTACCCCCTACCCGTTTCCCGTCTTGATTAATGGCACCTCTGCCATGTCACTCCACACCCAGCCACTGGCTCCCTTTCATTCGTGGGATAAATGGGAAAGGCCCTGGCATGAACGCACTTCACTTCCTGATGCGGCCCCGCCTACTCATCTGGCTGCAGGTCCCGCCTTCCAGCCTTGGCTCCTGTCGCTCAGGCTCCTGCACTGCTCTGGTTTCCTGATGATGTAATGCTTCCTCACACTTCCGGTTAGTGTGCTGGGAACATTCTTCTCCTGGTTGATCCAGAAAAAGCCTACACACCTACAAATCCGTCAAAGCTTGGCCTGGTGTCCTCTATAAAGCCTTTCCAGACTCTGCAGAGCAGACTGTAACTCACTGTATTATCATTGTTTGTGTGCAGGACCCATAGGAATCTTTTGGGTTAATTAAACAGAGCTATCTAGTAGTCTGGAGAAATGTGGCCTTTAGCTAGGTAGGGCTCCTGGTTTGGTGAGCAGAGCCTAAGGTAAGCCAGGGTTCAGTGTCTGCTTACAGCAGCCAGATCCCCAAGTACAGAGCTCAGACTGCATGACATTTAGGGGATCCCATTTGCCTGTGTGTGTATGAGGCAAGATATACCCCCTAAACCGGGATTTATTTATAAAAAAATGTTTGTTTATTCTTACATGTTTAAACTTCGGTCACCTTCCAAGCACTCCCCATTTGATGTAATACACCTATCAGGATGTTTTTTTCTACTGCTCAAAACAGTTTTTGAACTCATCGATTTTGATGCCTTCTAGTGCTTCTGCCATTTTTTGCTTCACCCCTTCCACATCGGCAAAATGTTTCCCTTTGGGGGCCTTTTTCATCCAGGGAAACAAAAAAAGGTCTCTCGGGGTGTGAGCCGGTGAATGGGGAGGGTGAGACATCAGGGTTGTGCCATTTTTGGTCAAAAACTGCTGAACACTCAATGCAGTGTGCTCATAAGTCACTCATTATGAAACTGGCAAATATGGTCAAACAGTCTTCAAAAAAATTCACCGAAGCTGAACGGAGCCTCTCACAATAATGCCCAATGTTGTGACAACGATGGGTTCCTAGAACTCTCACCTATTGGGAAGCCTGTACTACAAGATAATTCTGGGGTTGTTTGGGCCCACCCCCTAATACGTACACACATTTGTCCATATATATACACATATATATGTGTATGCATATACTTTTGTCTATACATATACAGGAGTATATATGCACATTTGCGTGTGTGTGTGTGTATGTGTGTGTGTGTATCTCCTCACCCAAGGGTATGTTTTTTGGCTTTAAAGAGAGAGAGAGAAACATCAGTGAGAGTGAGAGAGAAAGAAACATCGATTGGTTGCTTCCCATGGGTCAGGGTGCGAACCTGCAACCTAGGTACATGTTCCCGCTGGGATAGAACCCACAACCTTTTTGGTATATGAGATGATGCTCCAACCAATTGAGCAATTCAGCCAGGGCTTGTCTGTATATTTTCCCACCTGAGTGTAAGCTCCTTGTAGGCAGAAACCAGACTATTGTTCATCCTCATCTACCAGGGGGCAGTTCAAGGCCTGGCATGCACCATTAGCTTAGTATTTCATTCAGTGAACGAAGGAGTAAATGAAATGTAATGCCAGTTGAAAAATTAATTTTTATTCATTGGGCCATTTTGTATGGGAATGACAAGCTTTCAAAATATGGACTCTTCAAGGGGGAAAATCATAAAAGAGGTTCTACAGGTGAAAGGGCGTGGGTGCTGCCTGAGCACTCATGGGGCCCTGCAGTAAGAGGCTCTGGAGAGCCCAGAGTAAGCCCCTGGTGCCTCCTCCACTTCGCAGCTCCTGGAGAGCCCTGGCCTGTGGCACAGCGCATCCTGCCAGCTCCAGCTGCAGGCAGCCCTGATCGTCTAGGGGGAAGCAAACCTGTGGTAAAACAGACGGGTAACATTTGAAATTGACAGGTCAGTTAGGTCAGGAATCCTTACATTTCCAAAAAAAGCTTGACATTATGAAGTGGTGTGTTCCAAGATCCTTTAGGGACTTCCTAATGAAAGGATGCTTTTAATTACTTGATGAAGAGGCAGGAATAGGAGTAAGGAAACTGAAATCCGAAGAAGTATGTACCACTGACGTCTGACAAAGAGAGTATTGACAAAACATCTTCTAATTTATAATTCAAGTAAAAAGGATTTTTTAGATTTGAATACATTTTATTTTGAGGACTGTGTTTAGTAAATAAAATGACACCCATGGCTTTCTCCTTTTCTCTCTCTCTCTCAATTTAAATTCCTCATTATAATTATTTCTTTGTCTTATATTTTGAGCCCTTACAAGCTACCAAAAATCAGTTCTGGGAAAATAGGGCTAAATTAATAATTAAGGACACACACACAGAGAAATACATTAACCTGTGACTCGATCTATGAAAATGTGGATGTAATTGTGATACTTTGTCTCCCTGGATTTGGATACTTGACTTGTCTGTCTATAGAAAAAAAGAGAGGGTAAGAATGTGACCTCCTGGTTAACACTGGAAGAATCCAGAAAGCACCAAGAGATCTATTAAGTCAGACCAGATGTCTGGGGGGCTTTTAAATTTTCTTTATATCGATGCCAGCATGGTTTCCCAAAGACAGGTTCGGTCCTGCCCTCCTTGAGTGGTTCTGGCTGCACAGATCAAAATGAGGTAAACTCATTACAGCCTCAGTGTGGCTGGCTTTGAAAGATTCGAAAAATGTTCTTTTGTGGAGACTGAATAACTGGATGT